GAAAGAAAGAAAGGAAGGAAGGAAGGAAGGAAGGAAGGAAGGAAGAAAGAAAGAAAGAAAGAAGAGACATTTTCCTTTGAGGAAAAACTCATTTCTAGGTCAGGGAGGCAGAAATAGGAGTCACCCACTCCTAGGCAGCGAAGGACGATTTCTGGGGATCCTGGGAGGGTTCCGTAGGTTTCCCCAAATAGCATCCTTCATGCCTGAAATTTGTTAGGGGGCCGGGGGCCGCAGTGGGGGGGGGAGACAAAGTTTTTCACTCTAAGAGAGAGGCTAGAAATGTACTAAACTCAGAAGAGGGGCCTGGTGAGAATCTAATTCAGACTAGCATGACTCACTGGATTCCTTGGCAAAGCAAGTTTGGATTTAGGAGTGAGCGAAGGAGAGAGCCTTCAGGAGAAGCAAATGTCGCTGGGGAGTTAGAAGAAGTGGCCAAACACTTCACAGTCTGGCCGTGGCCAGATGAGAGACTGTTGTTCCTTGATCTAAACAAAGAAAAAGATTGTGTGTGTATGTGTGTGTATGTGCGCGTGTGTGCGCGCGTGTGTGCATGTGTGTGCGCGCATGTGTGTGCATGTGCGTGTGTCCTCTTTTGTCTTAAGGGACATTCAATACTTGCAGCAGAGATTTTTAACGTGCAGTTTGCCGAGATCATGCAACCAAGTGCACGGTCACCCTTGTGTTTAGCGCATCCACATCAAATGGACAAAGTAAGCCCATCTGAGTGGGTCGAACCCCACGTCTCCGCAGAGCAAAGCGATGATCAGGGAGCGAGTGGCAAGGTGGGAGGGGGCACACTTCTCTCAGGACAGAACATTATTTCAGGTGCTTAGCCCTGAGATCCAAAGAGAGCGATTCCTTTCCACTGAGAGACGAGGAGTGTTTGGTTGGGGCATAAAATGGGAGGGGGAGGGGGACCATGGTCAGCACTGGGAGCCATGGAAGGTATGTGAGCAGGTGAGGGCATCATGGGGCATCTGCTTCTCCCCTGGCCTTTGGAAGCTCCTGGATTTCAGGTTTCTGGCCTGGAGAGATGGGCAGAGCCCCTGCCCCTTGAGGGAGAGTGACTCCTGGCCCACCTCTCACCCCTGGCGAGGACTTGGCCACTCAGGGAGGAGGGGGTTGGGGGCAGCTGGGCTATTTTAGGCTCTGGGCTGGGAACCTTGGGCGCCTGCCAGGGCCCATGTTCCTGGCTCGCCGAGAGGCCCAGGCCATATGGTACCTTGCTGGCTCCCGGCAGGAGGTGCAGCTTAACATAAGGATCGGCCAGGCCATTGGAGTCCATGGGCTTCAGTCCCTGCAAGAGAAAAGGCAGTGGTGCGAGGGCCTTGGGAGGGCCAGCCACTCAGCTGCCGCAGCCCTGGACGCAGCCCCTGGCCTCTGTCCCGCCCGTTGGTCCACCCCATATGCTTCCTCTTCCGAAGAGAGAGAGAAGGAAAAGAGCCCTGGAATCAGGCAGACGGGGCTTAAAGCCCGGCCATGTCACTTCCTGGCTGTGTGTCCTCCGGCAAGTTTCTTAACCTGTCTGAGCCTCGTTTTCCTCGCAGGTCAAATGGGATGCGGACAAGCCTGCTTCATGGAGGGGGAAGACTTACACACAGTTTCACCTGTCAAGTGCCTGGCACATGGTGATGCTCCATCAAGGCTGGATTGTCACTCGTCCCCTCTAGGGAGCTGAGCTCTGCCCTTGAAACCCAACTGCCTCTGCTCCTGGGAGGCAGCTGCCGTTAAATGACCCTCTGGGATCATCTCCGGGGGAAGTTCTCCCCCACAATATGGGCTGTGGCTAATTTCTGCCTTTTTCTCACCACTGTCACTGCCACAGGTAGGCAGGGCAACAGAGAGGAGCCTGGTGACCCGTGTCCTCCCCAAGTCCCCGGAGAAGCCAGAGCAGCCCGTGTGGTCCCCAGCTTGGCCCCTCACCCACCTTGGCCTTGATGATGGTGCAGTGCAGGGAGCTGTTCTCCTGGTCGTAGAGAAGGCTGAACTCCAGGGCGCCCAGGGTGGCTGGAGGGGGCAGAGGCAGGAACCAAGAGAACATTCACTCAGTCATTCAACAAACATTTCCCGAGCACTGATTATGTGCCCTGTCTGGGCTAGGCATCAAGCCTACAGAGAGAGGAAGACTCAGTCCCCAAGGCCCGCGGGAGAGCACGGGATGGGGAGGGGACAGCTGGCCTTTCACCAGCTCTGGCCTCTGATGTGCGGCAGCCCCTCCACTCATTGGCCGCGAGAGCTTGGCCAAGTCCCTGAACCCCCGGAGCCTCTGTCTTCCTACCTGTGAATCAGGATCAGTAAAAGCAACTCTGCCCAGGCCCCGTGGGATAATCACATGAGCACGTGCCCAGAACACACTTAGAAAAGTGTGCGTATTACGTGATACCCGTTCCTCGTGTGTGGTTAGCACTAAAATGATAATGATTTCCAGTTTACAGAGCACTTTCCCAGGGGGTGCCTCAGTTTACCCTCCTCGGTCCCACCCAGGAGGCAGTATTCTGCTTCCCATTTTACAACGAGAAGGGGTGACATCGTGGGCCAAAGCCACGCCACCGCCCACAGCCCTCGGTCCATTTCATCTAAGCGGGTCCAATCTCTCCGACTGACCGCGAGCTCTTGGGACGTGTGTGTGTGTGTGTGTGTGTGTGTGTGTGTGTGTTGGGTCCAATCTCTCCGCCTGACCACGAGCTCTTGGGACGTGTGTGTGTGTCCCTAGGACTTGAGTCTCAGTGGGAGGGGCATAAAGCAGGCACTTCATACATCCCTGATTGCATGGATGCAAAAAGAAACATCCAGAAATTTTAAAATGGCTTAAAAAATTGCTCTTTGAAGACACACAGTAAAGAGTTTTGGAACTGTTAAAGGCGTAGGTATACCCTAGGAGTGGATGCTGGTCACGTGATAATTCCACGATCTACTTGGTGAGGAGCCACCAAACTGGACAAGGCGAATATCGCCGAATTGCACTCTTTACAATGCGTTACATGGTGACTTAGATGTTACAGGTATTTTACCCCAATAAAAAAATAGGATGTTACTGTTTTTTAGTAAGTTGATGTCGTGTTGTGAATACGGTAACACAAACTTGGATTTTCATAGCTTGGTTAATGCGTTTGTCATGGCTGGCATATTGTGGAGCTGGGAGGGTGTAGAGGGCCCTCCCTGGAGCCCTCCTGTCTCCCTGGGGGGTGACCCTGAAGGGGCTTTTCCCAGACACCCCTGCCCTCAGTGCCACATACTCCCTTCATCCGAATCGTAGCTGTTGGCTTCCTCCTCGTCCTCCTCGGGGGGTGGGGGCTGGTGGGCAGGGGTCGCGACAGGCTGGGGGGCAGCAGCAGACACTTGGGAGTAAGGGCCTGGTGCGTGGCCCGCTCGGTCCTCCCTGGCTCCGACTCCGAGTCGCTCCTCCCAGGGTGGGATGGAGGCCCCTGGGTAGCAGAGGTCACCGGGGGCCAGGTCTGCAGGGGAGACGGAGAGAGGGTAGGAAAGAGGCAGCTGAGTCCCTGTGTTACAATGGCAGCAGCAACAACGGCTCCAGCATGACCATGAGGGATGAGCACCTACTGTATACCAGGTGCACCAGACTCACCCACAGCCCTGCAACAGAGAATTATGGCCTCCCGTTGACGGGGTGACCACATTGTGCCGTTCGCTGATTCGCAGAATGTTGTCTTTGTCAAAATCACCGAGGGGAGCTTGCAAAATGCAGGTTCCTGGGCCCCATGCAGAATCAGTAACCCGTGCAGTGGGGCCTTGAAGTCCATGTTTTATAACAAGTCCCATGAGCTTAATCAGATGCAGGCAAAACAGACCTCAAAGGGGTACTGATCACTTGTGTGGGCTCTGGAGCCAGGTAGCCTGGGTCTGCACCTCTGCTGTGTGGTATAGGGCAAATTACTCAATGTCTCTGAACCTCAGTTTTCTCATCTGTAAAATGGGAATTATAATACCTGAAGTCACTCAAATCATAGTAGCTATTATTTTAAAAATTATTGAATACATATACAAAATTGTGCCTGGTGCATCAGGAAGCAAGGACTAAGTTGTAGCCACAGTGATGCGTGTGAGGATGACCAGGCATATATATCACATGTAATAGTCACTGTCACTTAGCGTGGTCTTAAACATTCCCGGCCACGTGCTACGGTTTTATATGTATTAGTTATCCACTGAGCCAAACCGGTTAGGGCAGTAGCTATTATTTTAAAAATTATTGAATACATATACAAAATTGTGCCTGGTGCATCAGGAAGCAAGGACTAAGTTGTAGCCACAGTGATGCGTGTGAGGATGACCAGGCATATATATCACATGTAATAGTCACTGTCACTTAGCGTGGTCTTAAACATTCCCGGCCACGTGCTACGGTTTTATATGTATTAGTCTGTTTAATCCTCACAACAGTCACTGAAGTAGGTCCTGGTATTATTCCCATGTTAAAATAAGGAAACTGAGGCTCAGAGAAGTTATGTAACTTGCCCAGGGTCACACAGCTGGGACGTGAAGGAGCAGGGATTTGAATCCAGGCAGGGTGTGCTCTTAATCACTCTACTTGTGGTCATTTTCTAGAGTTTTGGAATCAGGGTGGGGAGCCTTAGAGCCCATCAGGGAGGTCTCGGGGTGTAGGCTGGGCCACGATCCGTAACGTGCCCAGGGCCACACAGCTGGGACGTGAAGGAGCAGGATTTGAATCCAGGCAGGGTGTGCTCTTAATCACTCGACGTGTGGTCATTTTCTAGAGTTTGGAAATCAGGGTGGGGAGCCTTAGAGCTCATCAGGGAGGTCTCGGGGTGTAGGCTGGGCCACGATCAGGCAGCCCCCTGCTCTCTCATGGAGAAGTGGGAGAGAGGTGGTCTCTCGAGCAGGCGTGGGAGCAGCGAGCACTTGCCTGGTCTCTGGTCCGAAAAGCGTCCTGCTGGCCCAGCACTGGGTCTGCTGCCTCCTGGGGGCCCTGAGTGGAGAGGAGAGAGGAGAGATGGAGCAGAGAAGGTGGCATCGTTTCAGTGTCCACCCCGTGTCCCCCTCATTTCCTGGGCAGGGACACAGGCCCAGGGGTAACAGGCGATGTGCAGAGGTACCTGGGGCTGCAGGAACAGCCCCACGGAGGATCCTGGGGTCAGGAGGCCTGGGTTCAAGCCCCAATGTGTCCTTCCCGAGCCTCAGCTTTCTCCTCTCTGAAATGGGATAAGAATGCCCGCTCTTCATGTTTCACTGGCTATGAGGCTGATCAACGAATGGAGGCGAATTGTGCCCGAGGTGATGGGCAAGTTTACACTCTGGACCCATCAATGCTGTGGGGTCATTACTGACCCAGTGGATTCTTCACAACTTCAGGGGTGGGGCATGGAATACCCGTCAACACCACCAGGAGCCCCCAGGCTTCCCTGGCCTTTCAGTATGACCCCCGGAGGAAGTCTCATTTGAGTGCGACGCTGTTGGGTTTCCCCTTTGAACAAGAGAACAGGCCCTAGGCTCAGAACCTCCTCAGGCCAGAGGAATGAGAATTTCCTTGCCTTGTTTAATTTTCATTACATTCATTTAGGTCATTACCCTCTGCTCTGTCTTTAACGCCTCTTTGAACAAAAGTGAACAGGCCCCAGGCTCAGAACCTCCTCAGGCCAGAGGAACGAGAATTTCCTTGCCTTGTTTATAATTTTCATTACATTCATTTAGGTCATTACCCTCTGCCGTGGGTTGAACTGTGTTCCCTGAAAGATCTTCAAGTCCTAACCCCCAGCACCTGTGAGGGTGACCTCGGGTGAAAGAGGGTCTTTGAAGATGGTCAGGTTTAGATGAGGTCACTGGGGCAGCCTTAATCTATATGACTGTGTCCTTATCAAAAGGAGAAGTTTGGCCCAGCCGGTGTGGCTCCAGTGGGTGAGCATCCACCATGAACCAGGAGGTCACAGCTCGATTCCTCGTCAGGGCACATGCCCGGGTTACGGGCTCGATTTCCAGTAGGGGGCGTGCAGGAGGCAGCCGATCCATGATTCTCTCATTCATGTTCCTCTCTCTCTTCCTCTCACTTCCTCTCTGAAATCAATAATATATGTATAAAAGAGAAGTTTGGACAGAGAGAGAGAGACATCCTTAGAAGAAAGATGACAGGAGACACAGGGAGGATGTCATTTAGAAGCTGAGGAATTGCCTGAGGCCCCAGGAGCTAAGAGGAATGAAACAGATCCTCCCTCACAGCCTCAGGAGCTCACCCTGCCAACACCTTGACCTCAGACCTCTGGCCTCCGGAACTGGGAGACGACCCATCTCTGCTAATTTACACCACCCAGTTGGTGGTGCCCGCACACACTCTCTCTATAGTACGGGACACTGGTTTCCCATTGATGCCATTATCATAGGTTTCTTTTAAAATAATGAAACCCGCACGGGACCAATTAGACATCATTCCCTTTGTCTTTCACAAGCCACATGTGTTCAGATTTCCCCACATCACTAATCTCCTTGCTCACCATTTCTTCCTGAATCTCCCACAACCCTTCTGGGAACATGTGCCATTTTATTACAGCCCAGTGGCCTTAAATCCCCCTCGAGAGAGTTTGTGATAGCAAGCCCTCAGCCATGCTTGCAAAGCGAGTCCATTTGAAGAAAGATCGAGAAAGTAAGAGGGTAGATGGTAGGTGCGTGTGGTAAAAACTGCCAGTGGAGTGACCATGGCTGAAGGGGGGCGATGCTGAGGAATGAAGTGCTGTCCCTTCTTGCATTCAGCTGGATACGATGCTGGCTTGTGCCCCGCCCGGCTCCCCAGCCCGGGGACCACTCATTCTTGCATTCTGGATACGATGCTGGCTTGTGCCCTGCCCGGCTCCCCAGCCCGGGGACCACTCAGTCTAAGGGTCATAGAAGAGCTTAGGATTCGGCGGCGGCTGCGGCTTTGCAGAGAGCCGGGGCTCTGCCAGCAAGGATGGAGGAATTGGGGTCGCCACTGACTGACATGGCAGCCGGGGTGGCTGGGCAGGTGGCAAGTACCTGGCTGCCCAGGCTGAGGCGGAGCCTGGCTCGGCGTCGAGGCTGGGGCGGGTCTGGAGGCCTGCACTGAGTTGGCCCGTCTCAAACCTGTAGGAGGAAGGAAGGGAAACAGCCCATCACGTTGCACGCACACACAGTGGAAGCAGAAAGAAGCTGGGACTGGGCAGCTGGCCTAAAGCAAGGCCTTCTGGATTTGAACACAGCCCCCCAACACCCTCAGCTCCTTCAGACCCTCTCTGCCTCTCAGTGGGTTCGCTCTTTCCAGTACTCAGACCCCCCGGGCAAGTCACCTGGGTGTTGAAAAAGCACAAGTTCTGTGATATTGCTCCCACCTGTACGGCCTTGCACAAATGGCCTCTCCTCCCTGGGCCTCAGTTCCCTCGTCTGTTAAATGGGGATGATAGTACCTACCGCATAGCATGTGGTGGAGATGCGATGATACAATGCATGCAAAGTGCTCAGAACATGTAGTAGACACTCAACACCTGGCAGATGTTGATATTATTGTATTATTCTTGCAAGAATCTGGTCTATATCTTCACATCGACCTAACTTTGCATCGGAGCATTCTCTTTTATAAGCTGTGTGACTCTGGGCTGGTCACTCCCCCTCTCTGAACTTCAGGAGCTACTGGATAAGGACGAGTTAACATTTATTCAACGCTTACCATGTGCCAGGGACTTTACATATAAGAAGCTTATTTAATCTCTACACCCCATTTTATAAATGGGGAAACTGAGGCCTAGCAAGGTTAAGGAGTTCATCCAATGTCTGTTGGCTGGTTTGTGGCAGAGCCAGGGTTAGGACTCAGGCAGTCGGTCTCCAGTCTGCTTGAGACCATCAGATACTGCTCCCCAGCTCTCCTGCCAAGAGGAACCGAGGTGCTATGCCACAAACCCCCTAATCAGAAAGAGAAGGCCAGAGGGCTGCGAGGGAACTAATATTCAGCCCATCTAATCAGAGCCAGTCTCATGACCTCGCTACAAAGAAATGCAAACATTAGAGCAAGAAAAGGATATAAGCAAAACTTTTGGATGTCTGGAGTCAGAATTGTTTCTGAGTCCTATCTTTCCTCTACCATAGGCTAGAACCAGCATCTGCATTGAACATGGCACACAGTAGGTGCTCAATAAGCACCGAATGGATACATGAATAAAAACACTCCCCTCCCCATTCTTTCTGATTCTCCTCATCCAGGAAGCCTGCCTGGATTTGCCCCTCTCTCTCACCTGCTGGGCTCCGGCTGGAGTCACCGGCTGCCCCGCCATGGCCATGGCCCCAGCCCTCTGAGTCCCGGCTGGCTGAGCTCATTCGTGCCTCTGAGGCCCTGCGCACAGGAGGCCCGTAGCTTCCTCGGCCAGGCACAGAGGCCAGCTCAGGGCCTGGCTTCTGACCTGGGCCCCTCCCGTCTTCAGCGTCACCTGGAGAGGGAGAACAGTGATGGGAGAACTGGTTTTTATGGTGCAGGACGGCCACTACTTAAACAGCTCCACAAAGGGGCCCACCGTCCACTCCCAAGTGCTCTTTAAAATCAAAACTCTCTCCTCCTGCCCTGCCCTTGGATGCAGCTTTCATTTTATAATCTCACATATTTCCTTTGCCTGCACAAGCATGTGAACACACACAGGCTGAACACAGGCCGAGCTGGGGCCACTGGCTACATCCTCTTCTCGGTGGGCTTTGCTCGCTTAATCCAATTTTCCCAGGACTCACCAAGCACGTTCCAACCTTAAGCCCCACGCACACCATAGTCCCGAAGATTCTTTGGGTCCTCGCTATCATTTCAGTCACGTGTCTCCCCAAAGATCCTCCTCTGATGGCCCTTCTCTGCCCATTCTATCCTGAATGGGGCCTCCTGTCACTGCCTGCCCCCTTTACCTGCTCCGTGTCTATCCCCAGCACCTATCACTGCCTGATACTATATTGCATTTGCACTGGCAGCTGGTCGAGCACCTGTTTCCCCCACTAGAATTTTAGCTGCATGAAGGCAGGGGTCTTCGTCTGTTGCAAACACCACTCTATTTCCAGGGCTTAGAATAGGGTCTGGAACTCCTTTGGTGCCCAGTGAATGTTTGTTAACAGAATACGGAAAGCACATATGGACATAATTCCAAATCCATAAAGAACACTGACAGCATTCCATTTTAAATAATCCCTACTATAGTGTGGTGTGGATATTTCATAACCCAGTCAACAATTCCCCTACCAACGAACCTCTCCCAGTGCTTTGCTGTCATAAGTAATGTTGCAACAAATATATCTATATCTTTTACATGGTACTTGGATTGCTGTTCCATAAAATCCCAGAGAGGGATTGCTGGATCAAATGGTATATAATAGTACATTTCCCCATTTTAATAAAGTCTGCCATATTACATTCCAAAAGGCTGGAGGTGACTTACAGTCTAAACCAGGGGTCCTCAAACTACGGCCCGCGGGCCACATGCAAATACAAATATTGTATTTGTTCCCGTTTTGTTTTTTTACTTCAAAATAAGATATGTGCAGTGTGCATAGGAATTTGTTCATAGTTTTTTTTAAAACTATAGTCCGGCCCTCCAACGGTCTGAGGGACAGTGAACTGGCCCCCTGTTTAAAAAGTTTGAGGACCCCTGGTCTAAACCAACAGTTTAGAGAGTATTCATCTCCCCACACATTCACCAGCACCGATGTTATTCTAATAACTTTTTAAGCGCCACTATGCAATGCTGGTGATGTTACTTCTCTCCAGTGAAGTGAATGGGGTAACATCCACCGCATTTCCAGAGTGGTCTGTGTTGTCCAGAGTTTATCTAGTTCATGCCACCTACGTGTCTGTGTATGTGTCTGTGCACAGGTGATGAACATTATATGTTATCAGTCAGCATTTACTCAGTGCTGCACTCTGCCAAGCACTTAGCATGTAGTGTTTTATTTAATACTCAAACAAATCCAATGAGTTATTAGCCCCATGTTATACGGGGTGGGGCAAAAGCAGGTCTGCAGTTGTTTGTTTGAAAAACAGTAAAATAATTAATAAACTGTGTTTCGCATACTCACAACTGTAAACTTATTTTGCCCCACCCCTTAGATGAAGAACGAATCGCAGAGAGGTTAGGACACTTGCCCAAGCTCACAGGGCTGGTAGATGGCAGAGCTGGAATTCAGATTCTGGTCCTCTTGCCCTCAGATGCCCAGATCTTTTCATTTTTAATTTAAAAAATATTTTGCCCTAACCAGTTTGCTCAGTGGATAGAGCATCGGCCTGCGGACTGAGGGGTCCCAGGTTCGATTTCGGTCAAGGGCATGTACCTTGGTTGCGGGCACATCCCCAGTGGGAGGTGTGCAGGAGGCAGCTGATCGATGTTTCTCTCTCATCAATGTTTCTAACTCTCTATCCCTCTCTCTTCCTCTCTGTAAAAAAATCAATAAAATATATTTTAAAAAATATTTTTATTGATTTCAGAGAGGAAAGGACAGAGAGATAGAAACATCAATGATGAGAGAGAATCATTGATCAGCTGTCTACTGCACACCCCTATTGGGGATCGAGCCCACAACTTGGGCATATGCCCTGACTGGGAATCAAACCGTGATCTCATGGTTCATAGATGGGTACTCAACTACTGAGCCACACTGGCCAGGCTTATGTCCATGATCTTGACAGTTATGCTCTACAATCTTCTCGACCTAGAAGGGGAAGTGCTTAACCAGGAAGAAGGATGCTCTATTGGTAGAAACCAGGGCTCCTCAGGATGCAGTGAAGATGGACAGTTTGGTAATTCTCTGCAAGGGATACAAATTGCTCCCTTTGTCAGGAAGTATTTGCTGATGCCTTTTGAGTGCCAGACACAGTCCCAGGTACATGAAGAAGTTATCTTATAGGAGACATACTCAGGCACTTCAATTTTTTGAGACCTTCCTTCCAGAAGCACTGCTTGCACACAACTCCAGAGTTGTCATCCAGACCCGAAATGATCACTTAGTGTTAATTGGAATTATTGCAAGGGCTCTCTCTGACCAGTCCCAGTGGCCTCATCCAATTAATGTGTTTTTATTGTGGTTGCCTTTTTTCTTTGTATTGTTTTGCCTCTCTCTTTTAATCATCATTTTAGTAATTAATAATAATACTTGGATGATAGTGATAGTATCCATAGTAGTGGTAATTTTCTTTTACTAATTTCCTTTCTATTCAACTTTCTGTTTTAATTAGTCCAATTTCAGATTTGCTGATGGTGGGTATAAGAAATACCAGGGGTGAGGAAGGCCTTCTCAGCAAGCCCCAAATGCCTCCAGTTTGGTTGTGAGAATTTCTCTTTGTTCCTAATTTTAATTTCCACCTCTGCTGTACCTCTAGATACTCCATCAAAAATGCCTGACATTGTTGAAGAGTTCTCTGTGCTATCTTCTCCACAAGGGTTCATGGTGAGCTGTGAAGGGGACATAGGATTCCCAGACTCAAACCCAGAGGCTGCCTGTCCATCAGCTGGGTAGAAACACAAACATGTCAGGACATTCTCCAGGTAGACCAGTTAGCCGAGAGCTGTCCTTGGTTCTGATAGGATAAATTGTTTTGTCCTACCTTGAGTTGGAGCCCGGACAGTGTGCTTGGATTCAGGAGTAGGCTGCTCTGGGACAGCAGGCTCACTGACAGGCTGCTTGGGCTTGGTCTTCATTATGGGCATAGGCTGTGGGAGGACCTGTTTGGGGAAGCCCTTGAAGAACCAGGCTCCAGAACGCTTCCACACCTTGGGGAGGAAAGGGAGAGGATGATGACATGGCAGCCAAATATATTGCTCCTGCCTTCATGAGTGCCAATTTTTAACTTTGCTCCCCTCTGTAAGCACATGGACACTTTTCTCACCAGTATGCAACCTTTCACAATTTCTATTTAATCCCCACAATATCCCTGACCACTCAACAGAGAGGGCCTGAGTAGACCCATTTTCTTGATGGAGAAAGTTGGACATCATGAGGGTATGAGCTAATATAAGGCTTCACAGCCAGAGAGCGCAAGGGCAAAGACTGGACACCGAGTCTTGCAGCTCTTAAATGTGGTGTGCTGCTCCCTATTACTAGGAAGGGAAAGGTCACAGAACTAGAAGGGAAAAGAAATTCATTCAAACACTCAGGGGCTGTTCCTCCAGAGTCCACAGCTGAGCTGGCTCCTTTTATACCAAACCCTTAAGACATATCCCTGCCGAGGTTCTCCAGCCCCCACCTGCCACCCTGTTTCCCTGGCTCTAGAGAGGAAGGGGGGATGGAATAAAAAGGAAGGGTGCTCTAGAAGCTAGAAAGGACACGTCTACTCACCTCCCTCTGCTCGATGCAGATTTTGCAGAGCCATACAGGATGCGGGCGGTTGTTGGAGGTCTCTACCCCGCATTTGGTGCAGACATTCTGGGGACAAAATAGAGGCCAGTGTACACTCAGATATGCCAGGTGCTCATGATCAGGGGAGGTGGTGATGGAAACCCATTGCAAAGAGCTAGAACTTTCCTTCTCTCACCTCCTGCCCATGACCAGGGCCAGTTAGAATAAAGTTCCACCTTGAGTCTTAATTTCCAATACCAAGAACTGGAGTCATTCCCCAGCACTGGATAAAGAAATTCTCCAGGAGTCCCTGTGGGGCCTGAGTTTTCAGCATCCATACAGGGGAGATGACTGAGAGGATTTTCAAAGAGGAAAGGCCATGTATCCACATGGCTTACTAATGTATTTCTTCTCCTTCCCCAAGCGAATCTGAGACAACCTAGGCTACAACTACAGCTTCAAATCTTCAAGGAGAAGGAAGTTATGTGAGGAAACGCCACGACTGTGTGATGGGACATTATATTTTTGGCTGTTTCCTGGCAGTCAAGGCAAATAGGAAAGCCTGATGGGTCGCCGAATTCTCACTCTTGGCTGACTGCAGCAGACAACATTTTTGGAATCGATCAACTTCCCTCAATATTCCATCTAAACGCTAAATGGAACCCCAAGCAGGAGACGTCAAGTGACTCTATGGGTGTTTCCGGGTGGCTCATTCTCCTAAGTTCCTTTCCTGGGAATCAGGCAGACCCAAGGACAGTTCTGTCTGTGTCCTGGAATTGTCAAGTGCAGACAACTGAGGAGAGGGTACAGGGTGGAGAAATACGAGGAGCCCCCCCCCCTTTCAAGAATAAAGGCTTTTGAAGCCCAGTGGTCCTAACTGGGCTGGAGAGGGGCTTTCTCAGTCACTTGTACTATAACCATGTTAAGAAAATGCTGGGTTAGCCTTCCACATACACACATGTGTAGACATGAGTCCATCATGCTCTTCAACCTGACATGTAACTTGCTAAGCCACAACCAGGACACTTGCAGGCTCAACCTTAGCTCATGTCCTACCTCAAGCTCCCAAGTTCATCCTGGATGGACCTGAGCTCCGAGGGGACAGAAGGGTCCCAGTGAGTTTCAGGGGAGGAACCAGGATCAGGGTTACCTCGGGAGACAGCTGGATGTGAGAGCATCCCAGAAGGAATCATTTTCTGGCAACTACCCTTCAGGATCCAAGCCCCACTCCCAAGACCCAGGGTCCCCCAAGGTTTGATCCCAGGCCTAGCCCCTCTGCATGTTATGAACAGGGATGCAGGGAAGAGAAGGGGAGGGTGATGGTACCTTCTTGCAGTCCTCGCACACTACGCAGGCAGAGCCCAGCATCCCCAGATGTTCGCCACACAGGATGCAGCGGTTCACCCCATCCCCAGCCACGTTCTTCCTCATGTTCTCCAGACGGTCCACCAGGCGCCTGGAAGCAGAGACAGGGTACTAAGGACCTTACAGGACCGGGGACCACCTGCATCTCCCTCGGTATCAGGCTGAGGGTCTAATTCTTCTCTGAGTCATGGGCTCTTAAGTATCTGATGAAGAATGTTGGAACCTCCCTAAGAAACAAGCACATGAAATCTGATGCATTTTCAGAAAATCACAGAACCCCTCCCATATCCCCCAAAGCCCATCTAGTCTACTGACTTCAGATTAAGACTCTTATCTACACCATAGCTAAGATCTGGAAACAGCCTAAGTGCCCATCAGTAGATGAATGGATTAGAAAACTGTGGTACATCTACACGATGGAAAACTATGCTACTATAAAAAAGAAGGAATTCTTACCATTTGCAACAGCATGGATGGAACTGGAGAGCATTATGCTAAGTGAAATAAGCCAGTCAATGAAGGAAAAATACCACATGATCTCACTCATTTATGGATAATAAAGACCATTATAAACTTATGAACAAAAATAGATACAGAGGCAGAGCAGCCTCGAACAGACTGTCAAACTACAGCGGGAAGGCCGGGGAGGGTTGCGGGGCAGGAGGGGAGGGTAAGAGATCAACCGAAGGACTTGTATGCATGCATATAAGCATAACCAATGGACATAAGACACTGGGGGGTAGGGGAGGCCAGGGGATTGTCAAGGGCGGGAAAAAAGGAGACATATGTAATACTCTTTGTAATACTTTAAGCAATAAAACAATTAAAAAAAATAAAATAAAGACTCTTATCTAGTCCTTTCTACCTCGTGTCCCCTCTGCTAGGAAACTGCTTACTGAGCTCCAGATCTGTTCATCTACTTGCCTACATGACGTTGTCACATGGTTGTCTTCACAGGCATCTCAGACTCTTGCATTCATCTGGCCATCATCTTGGCAGCTCTCTATTCCCTCCCCCGTCCCCAGCAAACATTTCCTTATTCTCCAAAAATGGCACCACCATCCCCCTGGCTTGCTCAAACCAGGATCTGGGGGTCACCCGTTACCCGCTCCTCCCATGATATTCAGTGAGCCAACCCAAACTCTCAGTGGCGAAGAGCAGGCCTGTCTGCATGGGCGGGCTGGTTTTGTTTGCCTGCTCAATGTCTCCGTATTAAGTGCCCAATTAGGTGGACATCATAAGTGCCTGTCACTGTCTAGTCATGTGTTTACATGCCCGATTAACTTGACAATTGCCCCTCGAGCCTCACATCCAGGAGAGACACATCCATCACCAGGCTGCGTGCTGAAGGGGGGGCTGTTGGTTACTCAGTAAAGTCGGTGGGTACCTCCCATTTCCAAGGATGCTCCCAGAGGCACCAGAAAGGGTGTGTCCCCTCCTCTGGGCACCAATGGATGACCTCTGGAGGGGGTGGGATGTGGATTCTCAACTTGGTCTGACCTTGCTATCCAAATGGACCTAGATGCGCTGCTCATTAATTTGACAAATATTCACGGAGCACCTACCACCTGCCAAGTAGACAGTGAGGATCCAAAAGGAAGTGAAACAGATGAGGTCCCTGCCCTCATGGAGTTGGGATTCTAGTGAGGGACTCAGATGTCATTTAAATAATCACACAAGCCATCCTAATTAGACTCCTAGTAGGTTGTCTGAAGGACAAGTCTGAGTAGCAGTGAGAACTCATAAGAGAGGGATCTGAGAAGTCAGGATGGGGCCTCAGAGGAAGTGACCTTGAGTTGGGACCTGAGGATAAAGAGGAGCTGACCCAGTTAAGAGGGCGAGGAAAAGCCCTGGAAGAAGAGGGAACAGCATGTGCAAAGGACCCGAGAGATGCTCAGCATGCCTGGTGGGCTGGGTGGTGGGAGATGAGGCTGCAGAGATACGCAGGGGCCCATCCATGCAGTGTCTTGAGTCTCAGAGCGATGGGAAAGCATTTAAAGGCTTTGAATGGAGGCGACTCAACTTCCCTGGGTTTGAGACAATACATGGACATAAGAATGGAGCCCTTGGGAGGCTCAGAGCAGGAAGAGTTTCCGACACCATGGTGGTTCCAAGTAGAATGAAGCAGGCAGGTCCCTAGACTTCATCTACACATGAGCTGGACCAGGTCTCTTGAAACTCCAAAGCTGTCCCAAATGGGTCTGACTCAGTAGTGGTAGAAGAGTACACTAGCTGGAGGGCCACCAAATGCCACCGCACACTCCCGGGTTTCAAGGAGTCGCTCTGTATTTTAGTCTCCTATGGCTGCTGTAACAAGTTACCACAACTAAGTGGTTTAAAACAACAGATTTTATGTATATACTAGAGGCCCGGTGCATGAATTCGTGCACTGGTGGGGTCCCTCGGCCTGGCCAGCGGGGGACTGGCTGGCCAGGGGGAGGGACTGAGGGAGGTTGGCCCAGCAGCAAGCTAACCAACAGCGAGTAATCGGGCTCCCTCCTCCCTCCTGTCTGGGTTCAGGGTGCAGGTGAACCAGATTCAGGGCTGTCAGGGCCCCAGCAGCAAGGTCTGGGTCAGTGCATATCATAGCTATTGGCCGGTCGTTCCGGTCATTAGGTCGTAACGGTCATTTATGCTTTTAAATATATATATAGATAAATATGACCTTCATATATATGACCTTCACAGTCCTGAAGCTCAGATGCCTGGGCCAAAACCAGGGCCTTGGCAGGGCTGTATTCCTTCTGGAAGCTCTAGGGGAGGATCATCCCCTTGCCTCTTCCAGTTTCTGGAAGCTGCCTGCATTCCTTGGCTCATGACCCCTTCCTCCATCTTCAAGCCAACAGTGTAACATTTTCCGATCGTCCTGTGACGCTGACCCTCCTGCCTCTGTCTTACAAGGACCCGTGTGATTACCTGGGGCTCACTGGATCATCTAGATGACCGCCCCATCTCAAGATCCCTAACTTAATTACCTCTGCAAAGTCCCTTTAGCCAGGTCAGGTCACATATTCCCAGGCTGCAGGGATTAGGATGTGGGCACCTTTGGGGGGTCCATTACTCTGTCTACCATCCTCACGCCCCAGCCCCATCTGCCACCCAAGTTCTATTTCCGCCTGATGAGGCCTGAATGAAACGCCAGCCCTCCTTTCCAGAGCGAGGTCTGGGCGATTCCTCCCTGCCTGGCTGTGGATGTCAGACAAGCCAGGCTTTGGACTCTGCCGGGTGCTCAGCCCCGGGGAAGTGTGGACTCCCTATACACATGCACCAGACATTCACACCTACACACACACACACACACACACACACACTTTCAGATGTTAGAAATAGGAGGCAGCTATGAAGCAGGCATTGGATGCCAGCTCTGGAGTGAGCTTGTTTGTGTCCGCCTTTGAACTTTGCTACTTCCTGGCTCTGTGACCCCAAGAAAGTTGCTTAGCCTTTCTGAGCCTTCATTTTTCATCTGTAAATTGGGGAAAACAAGGTCCTTACCTCCTAGGATTGCTGCAAAGGCAAAATGAGAGTGTTTGTAAAATGCCCGGAACATGTTAACTACTCAGTAATGGTTGCTGCTAATTATTTCTTCAGGAAATTTATGGCGTTTATGACTCCCTGTACTAGCATTTTTTCTATGTAGCCAGGGTGCTATAATCTAGTCAGGAAATTTGTCTTTCTAAAGCGTTTAAAGGGGCTACGGTAACCAGAAGTTGACAGGACTCACGTGCCCGTCTCTAAATATACATACAAGATGGTGCTTGTATCCACATGTGAGTACATATGCCCACAGGCACACCTGTAGAGGCACATGTCCATGTGCACTGTGTGCACACACATGCGTGTGCCTAGTCAGCACCAACGTACAGACCACACTTTCCCATGCAGGGCTGTGCATACCCTGGCCTGGCAGGGCGCCCAGGCCCAGGAGCTGTCTTCCCCACACGAGGACAGAAGCCAACTGCAGGACCGATGGCGCGTGTCAGCTCACTCTCCCCGAAAAGGCCCAAGCAGCCTGGGAAACACGCAGGCAGCTGCTTCCGAGCCCTCAGCCCAGTGCTGCTGCAGCGCCTCGCTGAACGGGGAGGGAAGGCTAATGATGTGCAACTGCGCCAGGAAGGAGGCCCCACGCGGAGCACTGCGGAGCTCGGGAAGACACCCTGCCTGGCACAGTGCGGGGCGAGGGGTCTGGGTTCCCATTCCTCAGTCAGAGAGGGAAATAGCGAAAAGCTGGGTTCCACTGCTGATGGGAGGGACCGGAGCAGCTGCGATTAGAGCAGCAGTTAAACATTACACAGCGATTCCTAAAAATGCGGCAAAGTGGGAGAGTGTGTGCCATGCTGTGAGAGAGAAAGAGAGAGAGAGAGAGAGACGCACGCACACCATCAATTCCAGAATCATGCTGCTTTCGCTCTCATCCTAACTGCCAAGTGGGGGGACGTTACCGGTAACTTTATTAAATGTGGCATTTTCTGAAGTTAAGATCAGGCCATCTGCTGAGGACGGGGACAGGATTTAGAAACAGGAGGCAGCTGTGGCTGTTCTGGCCGGCGCTGCCTTGAGAGCCCGGAGCAGGGCCTCTCGGGAACCTGTCCTGAAATGGCCGAGCCACTCTGTCAGGAAGCCATGCGGCGGGTCTGTGGGCTGCGTGCATCTCAGACTCATTAATTCTCATGGTTGTTGATGACTGTCATCACCTGGGGAGCCATAGAGCCCCATCCCTCCCCTTGATGGATGGGTGAATGGGATTCCTGCCCGCACCGCAGCACTTTGGGGAGGAGGGTCGCCCCGACTCAGAGTTGGAGACAAGGGAGCTAATGTGGTCACTGCCAGGCAAGGTGCTGGGTCATTACAAACCCGGGGACATAACAGTAACCCGGTGCGGTGCTGAGCACTGTGCGTGCAGTGTTCTCCTTAAGTCATCTGCAGCCTGTGGGACCAGCTCTATTATTCACTCCCATTTCACAGGTGGGGAAACCAAGGCACACAGGGGAAGCCGCCTCCCCGCGGGCACTCAGCCGCCAGCGGCCGAGGTGGGATTGGAGGCAAGGTCTAGCCGTGCGGCGGGTATGCGGGCTGCGTGCATCTCAGACTCAT